GACGCCGAAGGCCCAGGTTCGATTCCCCACAAGTGCAATGAGTGAAGCCCATTTCTTGTGTCCCCACAGTGATATTGCTGGAATATTGCTATAAGTTGCGTAAAGCTTAACTCACTCACTAACAGTGGAACACGTGGCATCCTCCACATACTATGTGCCATCATTTTGGTTAAATTTGTGGACGGCCTTCACACACCAAATCTTTTCAAGGTTTGCTAAGTTTTTGTCTTGGTCGAAATTACGCCCGAGTGATAACGTGACACCACAGATCTTCATATAGCATATACGGATAACGTACAGGAGGAACAACTTCAATAAAATCACGGGTGCCTTTTAAGTATACAGACAAATGATAATCCAACAAAATATACGCCAAAGTCGGCACAAGAGAAAGGAAAGATAACCTTACCAAAAGGGCGCCGTGGTCACATAAATTACATTATAACTAGAAACTTGTTAAATCGTTTTGTTTCAGATTCGAAAACTAGAATGTCGCAAGATAATCCAATGTTTTTAAGAGTCCTCAGTATGCGTGCAAATAATAGTAAATATCAGTGTTGACAGCTTGATTGTAATGAAACGATTGATCTGTGTATGATGATGGGTGCTTGGGACTGGAACTATATCTAAAGAATGCATCAAATATTTTAATAAAAAATCCCCCATAAAGTAGTGGAGGTATTCTTTCGTGCAGTATTTTCTTGGTAAACAGGACCACGAACATAAGAAATGAAAAATGTGTTGATTTTGGGATGGGCCCCGTAAGTGTTTGCACCGAAGTGATTTTATGAAAGTAACATAACTGGTAATATTCCTCAGTGTAGGTTATGTATCCTGTTCAAATAACAGACATATATTCTAAAGAAACTCACCCGTCGTGTCATGAGCTGGGTGATATGTTCCTTCCTACTTGAAGACTTCGGCTCTTCAAAATGGCAAACAAGATTCTGTGAATCGTAGAATGCAGCCTTGCAGTTTTTCTTCTGGTTACAAAGTTCCACACAGAGTTTGGGGCCAATAGGACCCCGACTCTCACCAGTGACCAGCGGGGCTACCCCCAGTGAAATAGTTAGAATAACAATGCTTCTGTACATAGTGCAGTGCACCGATCCTGTCTTATGTGGTCTCATCCTGGGATTCAAGACCACTTAAGTTCAACCAGTATTGGATACTTGATCTCACAATGACGTAATACTGTGCTTCTCTATCAATTCACTCGGTACTATGACATCATTCTCACTCTGCGCATGCATTCTCACTCCCCCTTAGTGGAAATACAGGAATCATATTTGGAATCGGGCGCGTTGTGGATGCTATCTCACATAACACTTCATTTCATCTGACAGCGTCTCACCTTACATCCATTTGTTGTTAAATATACATTATCCATAAACTGATTCCACCATTACGTTTATGTGAGCACATGAAGTATCTGGAGTGAACTAAATAGCAATGATGTTTGTGTGTATCCAGTTTGTTGCAATACTTCCCCCTACCAAACATTTGCAGATTACCGGCAGTTATCCAGTACACGTGAAGTTAACAACAGTCAACGTGGTGTTGTTCGTCCAGGCGATGCTGATATCAAGTCAGTTTTACGGATATACTGCATTAATTACACAAATGGTGTTTATTATCTGCATATTGAATGTAATTTCAACTTGGATCGAAGACTTTCGCGTTTCGTGAAATTCCAGTTAACTACGATAACCAAGTTTCACATTCTTGGAATCAAATTTACCACTTTTAATAATTGTGTAAGTGTGTATGCACTTGGAGTGCCGTTTAGTTAACGTTTAAGTTAATAACGTTTACAGGTACCATGTCTCAAGAACATTCCTGGTGGTCTCTGTCCTGATATTGCTGGAATATTTCTGAAACAGCATAACACCATACTCACTCACTCACTACACGTAAGTAGGTATCATATCAAATTAAAGGAGTGTTAACTATATTGCCATGGAATCAGAACAATTGTTTTATCGATATTTAATCTTCAAAATGTAAGGTACAGCACAATCAGAGGCGCCTCTGGTATCAATATATCAGTTTCACTCTTAGAAATTGGAACTAATCGCCTACGTGAATGACATAACCTTCAGTTCCACACTGAAAGAGAGAACAAGGTATGGGATCGTGAAACACTAAACCTTGCTCTCGTCAGAAGGTCCTGGTTCGACTGTACACATTCACAACATGGATGAAAGCCGTACTTGGTACCACCGCCGTATAGCTGGCACATTACCACACGTGGCATGAGACGGTACTCATCCGTCCTATTTACTATCTTCTTCCACCATTGAGAAATGATACAGATGTCACTTCAGTTTGTAAACACATGCTCAAAGACAAAGAGATCATCTTGTTGAGAGTGTTATTGATTTGTTGGATGTAGAAACATTCACTAGCCTCTGGAACGATAGTGAAATCTTTCTGTATTCTGTGCTTGGCGGTTTGCCAGCAGAAGTTGCTACAAATATAGAACATGTACACATGTTTTGCATGTAGCACTGTTAAACTGAAGACATAGTTCTTTACTAGCCTTTTATGATAACGATGTGGTTTTGCCCTTACATAGAATATTTCCATTGTTATATACGTGCAACCTACCGTAATATATAATATTCAACATTTGGACGTTATTAGTGAGTACGTGAGTTTAGTTTTACGCCGCACTCAGCAATATTCCAGCTATATGGTGGCAGTCTGTAAATAATCGAATCTGGACTAGAGAATCCAGTGATCAACAGCATGAGCATCGATCTGCGAAATTGGGAACCGATGACATGTGTCAAACAAGTCAGCGAGCCTTACCACCCGATCCCGTAAGTCGCCTCTTATGACAAGCATGTGTTACTAAAGATCAATATTCTAACCCGGGTCTTCACGGTATGGAATATATGACCTATCATGCCATCTATGTCGTGGTATTTGAGAGGTGGTAGTTACTGATTCATTGCTAGCTACATTGTATGTGTGGTAGTTATACATGCAGAGAGGACAGCATTGAAATGTTGGGTCGAAAGACAAGTGGAAAGACATAGTACGACAACATCTCTGTTTAGAATGTATCTGAACATCTAATGTGACTATGTTTGGGTACATGCGTGTAGTTGTGTTTAACCACCGTACTCAGTAAAATACCTGTAAATTGGCAGCTGATATATATATTCAGATGTGGACCAGAAAACCACTTATTGATGTTATGAAGGATGCAATCAGCGTCAGCAGCATATGTTGTTTTGAACAAGTCCTACTCACACAATTGAATTAAGAACACAAAACAGGCATATCGTTTCTCTTTGACACTTGTTGGTTCGCCAAGACCATATGTCGTTGAAAGGATAGAAAGACACTGAGAACAAAAAAGCTTCATTGACAGCTTTCGACTATAGGATCAGTGCCAGTTACACAAGATACGTGATATGGGATATTTTTTCTTGACACCTGCGGTGGCTGAGTGGGTTCGATCGCTGAATCGTGTACTGTGCTTTGTAAGGGTGCCCTCAAATATACCATATTATGTTGTATATGACGATTTTCTATACAGCATTGTGGATTTATGCCGAAAGATGAAGGAAACTGCGATTGGCATGAAACTAAGTGCTGAATAACTCTTGGGGAAACCTTATATTCACATTAGGCTTATTACATGTTTGTTCCGATAAATAAGTTAATCTTTTCCAGGGTATAGTGAACGAGTGAGTGAGGGACATAAGCCGGTTTAACGCCGCTGCGAATAGTATTCTTGTAAATGTGATGGGAGGCCGCAGTGATCCATGTCTCAGACTTGACTTTCCGGAGCATAACCCATCATCCGCACAGTGTTTCCACGGAATGAGCTGAATCGGAGCATCCCGGCAAGTCATAAACCTATGATCAAGGGATGCAAGACCAAGACCAGCGTGGAGGATGAGACGCATTGATATAAACCAACGTAAGACACAAGCACCTGTGTAATTAACAGCTGATTTAATCAAGGAACAGATATTTTCACAGTAGATCTACTTTAACAATGAACTGAACTGTAGTCGCCAGGACCAAAACAACTACCTACCCTTCACGTCTGAGCAAGACAATGTATGGTGGTTCGATATTGTTCCAGAAAGTGACGTTATATCTTCACGCTGAGCCAAACAGTTACGTTATATCTTCACGCTGAGCCGAACATTGACGTTATATCTTCACGCTGAGCCAAACAGTGACGTTATATCTTCACGCTGAGCCAAACAGTGACGTTATATCTTCACGCTGAGCCGAACAGTGACGTTATATCTTCACGCTGAGCCAAACAGTGACGTTATATCTTCACGCTGAACCAAACAGTGACGTTATATCTTCACGCTGAGCCAAACAGTGACGTTATATCTTCACGCTGAGCCAAACAGTGACGTTATATCTTCACGCTGATCCAAACAGTGACGTTATATCTTCACGCTGAGCCGAACAGTGACGTTATATCTTCACGCTGAGCCGAACAGTGACGTTATATCTTTATGCTGAGCCAAACAGTAACGTTATGTTTTTAGGATTAGCCAACACTACATGGCGTTGTGGTGATACATGTCCTTGTGGTGATACATGGCCTTGTGGTGATACATGTCCTTGTGGTGATACATATGTCCTTGTGGTGATACATATGTCCTTGTGGTGATACATATGTCCTTGTGGTGATACATGTCCTTGTGGTGATACATATGTCCTTGTGGTGATACATGTCCTTGTGGTGATACATGTCCTTGTGGTGATACATATGTCCTTGTGGTGATACATGTCCTTGTGGTGATACATATGTCCTTGTGGTGATACATGTCCTTGTGGTGATACATGTCCTTGTGGTGATACATGTCCTTGTGGTGATACATGTCCTTGTGGTGATACATATGTCCGTGAGATGGTACACATACAGGTCTTCACTTCATTCAGTTCTCGTCTTTGCAAGGAGGAGCCAAACATATATAACATTCAGAATATGTGGAATTTCCAGTGAACTATTCTGATTTTTATTGATAGTTCATGTTTGTGGAGGTGTGTTGATGTAGGCGTAACTTTGTAGACATTGAACAGTCAACGCTTGACGTTTGGAGATCCCACAGTGATTCAGAGGGATAAACTGTTTTTATGGAGTGAATAGTCGAAGACGAATAGAAAAACAATGTTGTTGAATGCGGCAAGGTGAGTGTTTGTTGTTGCACGGTTCACTGCAGTGAAAGAAGTCAGTTGCTGTTTAGTCTCTTATAGATCCTGTTGATGGTGATTTATAATGAGGCGATGTTCTTCAGTTATCTTCAGGAGTAGCACAAGTCAAACGTTACGCTGATATAACAGTTAATTATCTAGACGGCGAACATTTCTGCCATTTTCGTCATCAATATCATGTTTGCTGTTGAATCGATTGCTCGTTTGTTTACTGAAATGAGAAAACAAGTTTTGTTAACACATGACAGGTGTATAGCTAAGTACATATTCTTGAATGACATGTTACTGATGTCTGGACCATGAGACGAACAGGTAGTCTTAGGGAGGGTACTACTGCTACTACTGCTGTTTCTACAAAGTTCTACCTCTTGTTCTACTTCTAATGCCATTGCTTGTACTAGAGCTATTACTACCGTTGCTGGTATAACCACTTCTGTTACAGCTGCTGCCACTTCTACTACCACCATCACAACAACAACTACTACTATTGCTACTACTGTTTTGTGTTTTTCTACTGCTGCTACCATATTACAGTAGGTGTGTCACAACTGATATTAATGCTGCTACGACTACTACTACTACTACTACTACTACTGCTGCTACTACTACTACTTGCTGCTATTACTACTACTACTACTACTACTACTGCTGCTGCTACTATCACTACTACTACTACGACTACTGCTGCTTCTGCTATCACTACTACTACTACTGCTGCTGCTACTATCACTACTACTACTACTACTACTACTGCTACCATATTACAGTAGGTGTGTCACAACTGATATTAATGCTGCTGCTACGACTACTACTACTACTACTACTACTACTGCTGCTGCTGCTATTACTACTACTACTGCTGCTGCTGCTACTATCGCTACTACTACTACTACGACTACTACTACTACTACTGCTGCTGCTGCTGCTACTATCGCTACTTCTACTACTACGACTACTACTACTACTACTACTACTACTAAACAACCACTAAAATTAACACTGTTGGGACTTAGGTCAGGTCAGGTCAGGTCAGGTCCTCATCATATTCCTTTGGGTGTTGGGTACTTTAAGCGCCCCAGATAAATACTTTAGTCCCAGAAATGCCTTGTTATATTTGTATGTTTGACATCACCATACATGTTCGTCCGTTCCTTATCACTTGGCCATTGTACGTAGATAGTTACTTCAATTCTTAAGTTATTATTCTACAGTGACGACTCCTTATGCAGTGAAAGTGTTTTAGGCAATGTTTGGGATAACTTCCAAGCACCTGGCATTTTGGCATTTTGAAATGACACGATGGGCGCTAAAACAGGGACAACCATGTTTCTGCATTAATGTCACAATTTCCGATTTGGATTTTTTTCAGTTCTTGGCCTGTATTACACTTAGTGATTCTCCTTTACTTTACCCTTGTATCAAGATGTTAAATCATATGAGCGTACGAGCTGTCATCCTCAACACAAACGTTCAAATGATTATACCCACCGTATAGAGGACAGCACATTCCAATAGCCCCTGCCTGCACACACCGCCGTCCACGAAACTTGGCGGGGCAGAAGTCAAACCCCGGGGAACACCCTCGGGGGAGGAGGAAGCGCAGCATGGACTCCATATCGATTCCGTAAGAACAGCCCAGCTGCTTTGCCCCGAGGTAGAATGGCGACCTGCGGAAGCTTGACCCTCGTCTCCCCATTATAGCACTTGCCATACCACCCATCAGTCCCCCTGGCATACCCATGGGCATACCGCCTGGCATACCCATTCCTGGCATACCACTCTGGGTACCCATCGGCATACCGCCTGGCATACCCATTCCTGGAATACCACTTGGGGTAACCATCGGCATACCACCTGGCATACCCGTTCCTGGAATACCACTTGGGGTAACCATCGGCATACCACCTGGCATACCCATTCCTGGAATACCACTTGGGGTGACCATCGGTATACCACCTGGCATACCCATTCCTGACATATCACCTGGCATACCACCTGGCATACCACCTGGCATACCCATTCCTGGCATGCCACTTATTCCGCCCATCGTCTGAGCTCCCACTGAAAACAGGACAGGAACAGTATAGGAGCAGGAGCAATACAGCGGAATACATGCAACGATAATGTATAGAATATCTCACTTGACATGCTACGAAGCAGATTCTATGAGGATTAAAAACAAACATGTTAAGATTCACTGTATAAAACAAAATGATTCAACTGCTGTATTTAGTATGCATAAAGTGAGTGAGTGAGTTAAAATTTAAAGTCACTTTGGCAATAAGTATCCATAAAGATCTGATAAACTGGCATAAATATACTCTCAAGCACAACAACCTTTACGTTTACTACTGACGTACAATATACACTTTATATGTATTTTATAAGCAGACTCAATCTAGCGGTCATAGTTTGCCCAGTCGTCTCACAGCATTTTGTTCCCTGGTGTGGTGGTCTGCCTTCAGTTGTTGGCGTTCAGTAGCCTGTTTTTTATATTGTATCGTCTTGTATAGTTCAAATGTTTTAGATTTAGTTACTAGTTTTATATCTATATCTGTGATAATCTAGTTATTTTACTGTCCTTCGTCGGCAGAATTTTATAATTTCACGTAAATTGTTGATATATTTATAACTTGTTTTAGTCACGATATGGCTGAAATATTGCCGATGTGACTTAAAATTTTAACTCACTCACTCACTCACTCACAGCATTTTGTTATGAAGAGTTGCCTTCCTTAGACGTACAGGATACAGTGATCGTGTGTTCCAAATCTCTTATTAAGCTGCTTAGATTTCTCGTAAGTGATAAGCTTTGGAGACTTCTGCTATGCTTCTGGCCCATATCAATCTGTCCACTGATTTAACTGCAATGCTGCTGAAAGAGACGATAAATCCAACTCTCTCACTCTCAGGGTATTTGTGCCGGGATATAGACACACGTATGTACGTCAGGGGAGACCGGTGTGTGATTTGTTGTCCAGATGGTGGTCTGTTAAATACTTCAAACTGATGTCATGTTTCATGTTTTCCCTCATACCCCTTTCACACTTACACAACTAAACATGAATACACTTTCCTCAGGTGGAAATATATTAGAATATGTGTTGTTTGCAATTCCAGTCGAGAAATAATCAATCCATGCCTTTTTATTTACATATGAGGATCTTCTACTCATGATTCCTTGTATAAATATCTGGGGCGGTGGGGTAGCCTAATGGTTAAAGCGTTGACTCGTCACGCCGAAGACCTGGGTTCGAATCCCCACATGGGCACAATGTGTGAAGCCCATTTCTGGTGTCCCCCGCCGTGACGTTGCTGGAATATTGCTAAAAGCGGCGTAAACCAAACTCAGTCAGTCAGTCAGTCAGTTGTATTAATAATTCGGGATCCAGAATACATAATGTGGTGTGACGTAAATCGGGTGATGTTTTGTGTTCATTAATCACGTAACCTGACACCCCCACGAATTCATGAATCAGTCAATGGAGCATTGCATCAAAACAGCATTTATGGAACCTCTCAATCAAAGCACGAGATGAACGCCACTCAGACCTTAGGAAACCGGAACATGTTTTTCTGGGAGAGGCTGCTGTTTCCATGGGAACGGTCAGACACAGTTAGAAGATTACCAAATAGAAATACAAAAGGACATTTGTGTAACCCAGGTGTTCCAACAAAACACGAGAGAGAGTGCAGGCCCTGCACGAATCCATGATATGTTTATTGCTTTTCAGCCTCAAGCTAAAAGGGTTGTTGTTGTTTTTTTGCACGATCTTCAAAATGCATGAAAATCGCCTCAAAAATGAACATTCTGTACATGATGATTCAGGTAAGTGGAAAGGGAATTCCCGAGACAGTAAGGTGAACTCCACGACAGTGTAAATAGTCTGGTGACACTGGAGTATGATTATATTTAGAGCGAGGGTCAAAGCCATGAACGGCGAAGCTTGCGACAACCTTCATACAGGTTCTCGATCTATAGACAACAACCAACAACTCGTTCTTGAAAAGGAGAGGCTACATGAGAGAATGTATGCTTAACGTGCTCTGTAGGCATATCACTGCATCGCTTCATAGTGTAACACAAACGTAAAAAATGGTCTGCATGATGACTGACTGACTGACTGAGTTTAGTTTTACGCCACTTTTAGCAATATTCCAGCAACATCACGGCGGGGGACACCAGCAATGGGCTTCACACATTGTGCCCATGTGGGGATTCGAACCCGGGTCTTCGGCGTGACGAGCCAACGCTTTAACCATTAGGCTACCCCACCGCCCGTCTACATGATGAGAAATGGTCGCAGAGAGATTTACCGAAGTTATTCATGAAACCTTGGCGATTACATCTCTTAGTCCTTGGTTAGTTGAAAGGTGGTTACAAACTTATGTTAAAATGTATACTAATGTTGCTTTATAGATTGAGTGCCACAGCGTTGTTCATACTATCAACCACTAGCTGGTCTGGTCAGAGCATTAAGTATTAGGCATGACTGATCGTGTTAATCGACAAAATAATGATATATTACGATACTCCTCCAATGCCATGTTGGCAAAACCATTTGGCATTTGGCGTCAACCATTTGCTTCGGGAAGTCACAACACCATATTTGACTATGATAATGAAATCTGAGATCCTCACACAACATGTTAAACCTACATGCCAGTTGTCATACAAACGCGTTTTTACAGTGATGATACTGCACACTTACTCACGCACACGCACAAACGCACACATACATACACTAACTCACAAACAAATAATTGCGTCAGCCCATGTATTTTTTTCATATCCATTTTACACACGCTCAGTATGTTTGATAAGGTATCTGTAAGATTAAATAACCTTTAACATTCAAATTGCGCTTACAAATACCTTATCGATGTACTGACCATGTTTCAAATGCATGAGAATATATGTGCTGCTGCTGACGTAATTGTTTGTTTGTGAGTGAGTGTATGTGTGTGTGCGTTTGTATTAGAACAAAGCAGTGACATTACTTTAATAAACGCATTTGTGTAAAATACCTGTATGTGAGTAACTGCTGGCCATTGATGCATACAGCCATGTGCAACCATTGAATCGTGCATATGACCCCTTTATTGTAAAAGGTATTTTTATACACTGACTCAAATAGTCGTGGGCAAATATGTTCGAAATATTCCTTTAAATTTACGTAAGAAAGTCTCACAAATACAATTACGGTTTTTCTTCAGCAGAATTCTTTCACACGAAGGAGACACAAATTAATGTGCATATATTACATATATATTTACTTTGATAAATACCGTCAAATGTGTTTTCCTTTCAAATTATGAGTAATACACAAATATGCGTTATGTATCTTTTTTTCTCTAAAACACTGGTTATGAACCAATATTTGGCCCTGATAACCCGGCAGTGATCTTACCTAAGCATGGTGAGAGCGTCAGGGCCAAGAGAAAGGGAAAGAAAGACATGATGTAACCCGGTAGAAGTCGGCAGGCGGAATAACCGCTGACCCGCGATCCGGTCCTTTTATCACGGGGGCCATACTCCTCTGTCACCGAATCGTCAGCCATGCGTCCTACATATCCGGGTCTATTTTCATGTCCATGTACAAGCGGCTAACACGCCGTAACTCTGAAAGACAGATGGTTGTTTATTGTTTACGCCCTAGTGGCAATGTTGGGGGAGGATTCAGGATGTTCCAGCAAATACGCAGTTGTAGCTTCACCGTGTTCAAATCTCTGTCCTTAAGAGGCTTTCAATTGTCGCCGATTTTATATAGATCAGACAACGATCGTATGATTACCCAAAGTCGAGAGTGAGTGAATTGGTTTAGCAGCAATATCATTATATTCCAGCAATATCACAATGCGGACACCACAAAAGGGTTTATCCATATTGCACCCATGTGGGGAATCGAACCTAGTCCGTCAACGTGACACGCGATCGCTTTAACCACGTGGTTACCCAACCGCAGGTTTACCCTAGAAAATGCAATACAGTCTTTAACACCACACACAGTGAGTGAGTTTAGTTTTACGCCGCACTCAGCAATATTCCAGCTATATGGCGGCAGTCTGTATATAATCGAGTCTGGACCAGACGATCCAGTGATCAACAGCATGAGTATCGATCTACGCAATTGGGAACCGATGACATGTGTCAACCAACCAGACCACCAGATCCCGTTACTCGCCTCTTACGAGTTCCTACAGTGCGGTGCGTTGTAAGTAATCGAGTCTGGACCAGGCAACCCAGTGGCTGATATAGTGAGCACCAATACGCTCCGTCGAGGTACGATAACATGCAGTCAGCCGTGTCACATAGCCTGACCGTCTGAAGGTTACTGGGCACCGATTCGAACCCAGTAACACCATGAACTAAATGACCATATTTCTAACGTCCCACTAGAAGTGTAGTCAAATAAAATAGTACCAATAAGATATAGGATGCAATCACATTCAATATATCATTTTGCTGACTCTCAAAGATAGTGGATGGTTAAACTGTAGTGACGTCAGTATTACGACGAAAAGCATTCAATGATTTGGACATAAAAATGCAAGGTTCGTGTTGTTTTTTTTTCACGCGTTTGTGTGACGCCGCTCCAAAGAATATTCCAGCTCTAAGACGACAGACTGGGGCCTAGAGACTGGACCGGACAAACCAGTGATTTATATTGTGAGCAACGAACATAGTACCCTCATCTGTCAGTCGCAGACTGGCATATTGACAGGTTACCATTCAACAAAAATCGTAGAAACTATCCCCTAGCATGATGTGGAAACATCCTCATCGTTACCGTGCCTCATGTCAGAAACATGTTGATCAGACACAGGGACAAAACAATAAACAAGCATGAGAAAAACAGTCTAACAGGTTGTGATGTTTTATGAAGCCCGATGTCGCGGTGATGAATGAGTCTCCCCACCTGCCACCGCGGATCACACTTACTCGGTATTAATAGACTGTTTCATGTTGGAAACAGGACATGACTGTTTTGTCTGGGTGCTGTTGTTTATGTGTGTTGTCGTGTGATATTTGACCTGCCTTTGACAATAACAATACATATTACTTTTTCTAACACTGAATAATGATCATGTAAAAAGATTTTTCAATTTAATGCACGAGATAAAACAACAAGTTATTTTCGCACGTTGATGACGGAGATAGTATCACAATGAATGTAATCCTCTGTGCAGAGGGAGTGAGTATTGTTTTACGCCGCTGTTAGCACTATTCAAGCAAGAAACTGAGAGAGTGCTGCTTATACATACTACATATAAAGTCTGATAGCACTGTGTACATGTACTCTTATAAAAAAGTAGGGAAACCTGAACTTTCAATTTGGATTGGAAGTAAAGTTAACAAACTTTTCAAAGACAGACATCTTATGAACGAACGACCATTTCTCTTTACCCCCCTAAACACAACGCAGGGGATGCACGTGCACAACGCAGTAGGCTCATACAGTTTTTTCAAGAATATACATGCAACATGTTTCACCAGAAAAAAGCACAGTTCTCCATTGTCGACAACGCTAATGTCAATGCTAAGTTGCCCATTGCAGTCGGTTTTGGCGGTGACGAGCGGTGAGGACAGGACCACGATATGATCTGTGACAGCAGAGGTTTCTCCCGCCAATTTTCGACGCACTCTATCGGCACTGATGGGTCTGTTGTGAGTCCCAAGGGTCTGGCGTGCTGCTTCCGTCGCTCTGGGGAACGATACTGCAGATGGATGCGCACAATCTGTCGGTCTTACGTTGTGATGTTACTGAAGGTCGCCCACTGCGTGGACGGTCTTGAATGTTGTTAGTGACCTGATACCACACCTGCAGTCGGTAGATGGTCCTAACATGAACATAGAAATGATTGGCTACCCACCGTACAGTCAGGCCAACTTGCAATCGTCTAAAGGCTTGGTTCCTCTGATCACTCGTGAGTCGTGGCTTGGCGATTGTGTGAAAACAAAAATGATTTCAGGCGAGTTTAGGACTGGCTTTCATTTGTAGGGTTGTCACGATATGCACGTGCATTTTCATTTTCATTAATGCCATTCGGAACCTTTTTCCACGTCTGCCTTTGGTCGATATACTTTTTCATCAGAAAACACACTGATGTTGATAATAACTGTCAATTTGGATTGACAAAAAACATGTTAACAAACGGTACAATCATAAAAATAACAGCACCTTGTAAGAACAAAGTTTTGCGTTTAATGTTGAAAGGTCACGTTTATAATAAGATGAAACATTGTTGCAGAAAATATTAACACATCCTCCCTGAGCATAGCAATTACTTGTTTTACTCACGTCCTTAAAGAATTGTTAGTCAACTCAAGTTGACTTGATGTATTTGCAAGATCAGGTACCCACCTTACAAACCATTTCAAGAAGGGGAATATCTCAGATCGATTCTTTCAGTCCTTTGGTTTTCTTTTCATTACTGAAAATATGAAGCTATTTAACTAAGAGGTAGGTTATCACTGGACCTCCACACTACAGATCCCAACACCGTTTACTCATATCGTTTACATGGAATACACTGAACTTCAGGCCAGCGGCGACTCTTCGCTGAAAGATCCATATTGACCTTGTTGATGCCTTCTCCAATGCATATGACACTGAGATTGTTTGTGGCTGTATCCTCAAAGGGGGGTTGAAGTACTGTAAAATTATTGTCCTCCTGAGAGGATATATAAGTCTCAGAACATTCAAAGTCAATTTAATTGATCCACTCCTTTTAATCGCAGAATATATGAGCTTTTAATGTATGGCAAGCTTTGTCTATATTGCTGACAGCTGAAGGGATGGTGTAAAGTACTGTAAGTCCCCATCGTCCCTAGTATGGTGATCTACCTTCAGTTGTTGGCAATCTGTAGCCTGGTTTTATATTGTATTGTCTTATGTAACTAAAATATTTTAGATTACATACTAGTTTAATATTCATAACTGTGATATTTTAGTTGTTTTACTGTCCTTCGCTGACAGGTGCTTTGTAATTTGGCTCAAATATTGCCGATGTGACTTGCAATTTTAAGTCACTCACTCACTCTCCAATGACATTAACATGTCCTTTAGCTCGACAAATGAAAGATTATTCAACCTCCTATCTTAAATGTGTTTAGATAGGAGAGGGAGTTCCTGACCATCTTGTGGACGATCAGGCATGTATGTACTTCAAGATGCCGGTTACAGACTAAGGCCAGCATGCCCATATAGAAGACAAACTTCATGCCGCAAATGATGGAGACTTACAGTGTCTTACGCTTGTAACAAAGTCAAAGCCATACTTATGTCATGCCAGTCCTGATATATTCCTTTGGTGTTGTTGATTTGTTGATGTTGAAAATACAGGTCTGGTCATTTAAATTGTGCCTTGTAGAATAAACGAGAAGTAACCATTCTTTTGTGTGAAACAATCCGAAAAATGTGGAGATAGATTACCACAAGAGTCCTGTGCTCAGCAGAGAGAATATACCACGAGCCTTTATCCACAAACTCCTCACGTGAATCGTGATAGGAGGATTCGCTCTAGATTAATGGCGCGCTACGCAGCAAGCATCTGCCATAAGAGAAGCTTCTGCTTCATTACAGTGGCGCGCCTTGTCTTCCTTTCAAGTCCACGTCCGGCAAACATGTCCAAAACAAGATTCTTTTGTGTTGACATTAACGTTTTACTTACTATGTTTAATATTGAAATTAATTTGCATTTCTTTGTTTTTATTATCAGTATGATATATGCTGATCCAGTGATTACACAAGAGAGGTAGGTAATAAATATCATTGGGCTTTCCTAATCATGCTCTATCTTTCCAACATAACCACGTCTAAAACGCAGGAAGGATCAGAATATAAAACATTGCTGTCTTCGTTACTAACTGCAAATTCAGCTAAACATGGTCCACATTGATCCAAAGGTGGTTTGCTTCCCTTGTTGTGGGTTGTACATAAGTGCTTAACGTGCTTAACGCATAACACATTAGCATCACACACGCCGTGGAAGGGTTCACACACGTGACAAATGCGTGGAAATGAACTTCTTGGCAGTATTATTTGAGATACTTGAATTCAAGTAAACGACTATCTTAACTTCGTTTGATCTGATCACGAACTGGACTTGTCTGAAGGGAAATGTGGAACTGCATTCCTCCGGGTCTCCGTAAATCATCTAAACATATCACGCCTTTTATCACATTTATGTTAATGTGAAGGACTAGGTTCTCGTTTCAAAATCTGAATTTCAAAACTAATTCCGTTAGTTACAACATAACATATTCTTTTGTCTTAGCTCCAAGTACATAAATCACCCTGGCGAGTATCATGTTATGTATAAAGTCATGTTGTATGTCTGGTATGGCTTGTCGCCTGACATGTATTCATGCGCCAGTATATATGAATCACTGGCAGGCTTCTTGAGGTGCCTTAACTGTAACTACCTCGGGATTTCCTCCCTAATCTGAGATGATGATCTCTCACAAGTAACTGGACATTCTATTTAAGAATACATCAGTTCAACAACGGAAGTTTGGATAAGGAGTGAGTGAGATAGGTTTAAACAGTATTCCTGGTATACCGCGGTACGTC